CCCTCAGTACACTGTTTCGGACATGTATACACTGTCCTTTGGTAGTCCTAAGAATGTGCGTGTCTGCTTAGAGGGACTTGCGGGCACCTCTTTCTTTCTGTTGTTCTGTGTAGTTGGGGCACATGTCCTCCCACTGTAAGACTGTCTGGTGGGGGAAAAAGTGAATTGAAAATTGTACTTTATTATCCATTGTGTACCTCCTTGCCTCTCTCCCTCCTGAGTCTCTGGACTCCTAGAGATGTTTCTTCTTTACTTTTACATGTTCCTTGTCAGATACACAGCTTAGGAAATACTGATTTCTATTTGATGGGCCAGTGGGTAAGTTCACTAGGTCAAGATGGCAGGATGGATTCAGGGACTAATCAGGACACTTGTTTTTTTAAAAGGTTCCTCATTGATCAGTCCCTTCATCTTAAGGTATATTTAAGACATCAGCAAGATGGCAAAAAAAACAACAACAAACAAACCCAGAGTATTGTCCCTTAAATCTTGTCCTAAGAGAGCTGCCATGGCTACAGTCATGACAGAACTCAGACTGTCCATCTTGGCACCAACCAGCCCTCATCCACTAAGCTGTCTTGCCAGACCTCCAGCAGTCCTGTCTGAGACCAGGACTTTCAATGAACCTGGAGCTCACTTACTGGGTGAGGTTGGCTAGCCAGAAAGTTCCAGGTATCCATCGGCCTCTGCCTCAACACACAGGCGAGCGATAATCAGCACCAAGGCAGATTTGGATTCTCTGGAACCACAGACTATTCTCAAGAGTGTCTAGAGAACTCCCTTGTTATTATGAGACAGATAGGTAGAATGATCGACCGTTTCCTGCCTATGTGTCCCTTTTCACAGTCTTAAAAGCAAAAATAAAACACAATGTAAACTTTAAGATTAGAAAAACTAGCCAGGTGGGGTGGTGTGTGCCTTTAATCTCAACATTAGAGAGACAGAAGCAGGCAGATCTCTGAGTTCAAGACCAGCCTGGTCTACATAGTAAGTTCCAAGCAAACCAAAGGTATATAGTGAGACATTGGTAGAAGATGGATGGATGGATGGATAGATAGATAGATAGATAGATAGATAGATAGATAGATAGATAGATAGCCAGGCTACTTTGCTGTATTGCTGCATGGAGTTCAGAATCCACAAAATATGCCCTTTTATTTTTTCATATGCCTTCTACAGTGCCATGGAATTCTGACCCCTAAACTGTATATGTGGATTTCAACAGTTCTTAATTTGCTTGAGGCCTCGAAGGCCCCTTACTGACTATTGCCGTCAGTACTAAGAGCTGACTGATGTAGCAGGGCTAGGCCCAGCAGTGATTGCCCTGGGTTGGTGGGGATCTCCTGAGAGATACAGAGAAACATGATGCTCTTCCTCCAACCCAGGTAGGTCAGGAAGCACAGCCCTCCCTTCCGGGCTGGTTCTAGACCAGGGGATTCAAGAGAGTTAACAGACTCAGGTTGTTTCAGTTTCAGAAATCACCCCGAGGAGATTCGAGTCCCCATGCCTTCCCAAGTGGGAGGGGGGCAGGTGTTAAAAATATAAAGGATTTTCACCTTTCTGTAAACCATTACGCATTTTTTAAAAGATTTATGAAAACATAATGTTAGCCACGCCAGGGATTAATAAGCAGAGTTATCGCCCAGTCTTTATGAAGACGCAGTGGCCAAGTATGTTTGCTGCCAAGAACCGTAAGAGTCCTGCTTCTCTGTCTCAACACTTAGTTCTGAGCTAAGAGATGCCGAGAGCAAGATAAGAGGCAGTTTGTTGCCCAGAAAGCTTTCCAGCTGGCAGTGTGCTTCCTTTCTGTTTTTATGAATGGCGGTAGTATTATGATTTGATCTGCGTTTTTTTTTAAGACCAAAGCCATTCATAAAAATAAAAACAAAACAACAACAACAACGACAAAAAAACTTTCTGGGCACAGTCTGGAGCCAACGGGTGCCAGAGGCTGGGAAAACATCCCAGCAGCCCTAACCACAAGCAGCATTGAGAGCATTCAAGGGTCTGTTTGTTTGGTGGCCTGAGAAGTATGAAGTGCTGGGTCTGAGTGTAGCTGGGAGAAGTTCTGTGACGTGAGCTAGGCCGGGAGCCAAGGCTGGCAGAGGTTCAGACATTGTCTTTCCCCTCACTGAAGTGTCAGGGCCTAATTCATGGAAAATTGGGCGAGCTGGCAGCCCTTTCAGGGAGTTTCATTGAGACGCACTGTGTGGGACTCGGGTGAATGGAGCTCCTCAGCCAGGAAAGGAGGGGCTGGTGATGAGTAGGAGCCAGACGGCCTGCACGAATGTGTGTGGATTTGAAACGGTCGGGAGTTAAAGTTGTACAGGTGTAAGCGGCAGGGGAAATGAGAGAGAAGAGAGGTGGATTGTTCTTAAAAGTGACCCTTTGGAAATGAATACTCTCTCAAGCACACGCTTCTGAGTCCTAAGAAGCGTGAAACCCCGTGCCTCCTGGGTTCAAGTCTACCTGGAAAAAAAATCATCTCAACCTATGCTTTGATAATGATGTTATCTCTACTGCTGTTCAAAGTCATGGCATAGACCTTTTCTTTTTCAGTGAGTAAACCACCCTTTTCCTCCCTTTAAAGAAAAAAAAAGTCTTTAAATTTTTAAAAATCATCCATTTTAAAAAATACTCTACAAGCTTTACATAATATTTGCAATGTGCAAGAAAACACTCCATTACAGACATTCTAAATTCTGGACATAAGGAGTTTAATCCACCTCATACATTTCTGAAGGACTGTAGCAATTGTATTTCTCTCACTGAATCATGGTGGTTCAGTTCTATTTGCAAACTTCAGGAATGTATAAACGAAATTAATAGGGCTTATAATCAGACATAAATGTGTTATCAGGAAGCAATCTACCAAAGGGCTGGGGCTTCAAATACTCCATTTTTACCACTGAAGAATAACAATCATTTCTGGAACTTAATTGAAAAATTAATTTAAGCTACAGGAAGATCTCACTCAGAATTTCACTCAAATGAGAAGAGATGAGTACTGGTCTACCGGCACAATCAAATGCATACTTGTAGTTTAAATCTTTGTTTAAATCTTCATAAGGTACCATCACAAAAGTGAGTGGATTGAGTTGGGTGTGGTGGTGCATGCCTTTAATCCTAACACCTAGGAGGCCGAGGCAGGTGGATCTCTGTGAGTTCGAGGCCATTCTGGCTTACAGAGCAAGTTCCAGGACAGCCAAGGATACACAGAGAAACCCTGTCTGGATAAACAAAGTGAATGAATCCATAGAACAGGAGACAAAGTTCACAAACTGTAGATCTGATGAAGTATTATATCCAGAGCATCAAAGAACCCTTGGGTCTTGTCTTAGGGTTTCTAATCTGGGATGAAACACCATGGCCAAAAGCAAGTTGAGGAAGAAAGGGTTTATTTGACTTAGTCTTCCACATCCATAGTTCATCACTGAAGGAAGTCAGGACAGGAACTCACCAAGGACCTTGATGCAGGAGCTGATGCAGAGGCCATGGAGGGTGCTGCTTACTGGCTTACTTCTAGTGGTTTTCTTACAGAATCCAGAGCCACAAGCCCAGGGAAGGCCCCACATACAATGGACTTTCCCTCATCAATCACTAATTAAGAAAATGCCCTACAGGCCTGATCTTAGCGAGACTTTTTTTTTCAGTAAGGTTTCCTCCTGTCAAATGACTGTATCCTGTGTCAAACTGACATAAAACTAGCCAGCACAGGTCTCAATGTTGAAAGAAAAATGAGTAACTTTTTTTTAAATGAACAAAGCATTTGGATGCACATTTCTTTACAGAAGCTAAACGGATGGCTAGTAAGCACATGAAAAATGGTTTGTGGAATTAGTGAAGAGATAATTTAAGTAGGAGCAATGACACTTAACTTTCCACCCAGTTGGAAGTCTACAATAAAAATGACAGACAATAACAAGTGCTGACACATATGTGGAAAAATTAGAACTCTCCTACATTACTGGGTATGTGTGAAATAGTGTAACTGCTTTGGAAAACCATCTAGAAGCGGCTGAAGGAGGAATTTCCTTAACACTCAGAAATACCACTCCTGTGTTATCCACAATAAATGAAAACATGCCCACACTGGAGTGTGTTTATGAATGCTCATAGGAGCTGTGCTTAACAGCCAAGAAGTGGAAATAGCCCTAATAGACATCAAATAATAAACATCCAGATAGGTAAAATGTGGTATACATTTGGCATACAAATCAATTAACTGTTGATACTACAGTAGTGATCTTCTCAGTTTTGTTACAAAAGACCTAACAAAGTAAATTCAAGAAAGAAGGGTTGGGAGTTGGGCTTACAGTTCAAGGAGACACAGTCCACAGAAACAATGATGACAGTAGCCTGGGGCAGCTGGTCACATTTACTTTCTCTCTTTAGGGGAGAGAGAGAGAGAGAGAGAGAGAGAGAGAGAGAGAGAGAGAGAGAGAGAGAGAGATCAACTTCCTCCTTTTTTTCCAGACAATGGCATGATGCTGCCCCTTTCAGAGTGAGAGTCTTCTCTCTTAAACCTTTGGAAGTAACTATAGAAACACACCCTTTTCATAGTTATTGTCAACACATTTAAGATTAGTCATCTCAGATATTATCATATGAATCACCCTCCTCACCTGGAAATTAAATTCGCCAGTGAATGAGGGCAGGCACACAAGAAGACCTGTTGCATGATTCTTCCACTATGAAATTCTGGAACAAGTCAATTTATATACCACAGGGTGGGCTGGTGACAAATTCAGCTTTGGAGGTTGACTAGGGAAGTGTTGGGGGGATGCTCACTATTCCAACGTGAATAAAAGAGCACCTTCCTTCACAAGCGGAGATTATGAATAAACATTTTTTTGAACTTAGATGAACTTTTGGAATATTGAATTTTATCCCTTGCTTTGCAGATCCACGCCCACACTTAAAGCTTAAATACTCATATTGTTCCCCTCTGTCTGTTTCCTTTTAAAATATAACATTTCTTTTGTTTGTCTCTTCCTTAGCCACAACAAGTTGTTCAGAAGAAGCCTGCTCAGGTAAGACATGATCCCTTATGATTTTTCTCCCAAAAGAATTCAAGTAAAATGTGTGCCAAAAAAGGTTTCCATGCCTTTAATTAACATTGTCTCATTTTGATTATGCATTGAAATATTTGTTTTATCCTTTTGAGTCAGGAATATAGACAGTCTGAGATCATTTATTAAAAAACCCCAACAGAGCCAGTGAGACAATTCAGCTGATGAAGGAACTCACTGCTAAACGTGATGACCTGAATTCTAGCCCAGGAGTCCACAGTTGGAAGGAGAAAGCCAACATTTGTGAATTTTTCTCTCATCTCCACTTACACATCACCATTCCCCACCTCGTGTGTGTGTGTGTGTGTGTGTGTGTGTGTGTTTTCCAGGGCAGCCAGGGATAGAAAAACAAACAGGAAAGCTAAAGTTTTCAAATGTGTATAAGAACATGGGGGAAGGGAATTAAAATAATTACGTGTATTACAACTTTGATAAATGCAAAGCTGAGCTAGAACAATAGCAATAAAAATCATTCACTTTGTGGTTCTTTAACCTAAAAGCCCAGTGTGGCATGGGCAATACAAAAAATACTCGATGTTCTTAAGCAATACTTAACTAAACAAAATGTACATAAACACTCCATATGATCTGATAACCTCTCATCCTTTGCTGGGAAGAAAATCAAGAGAAAGTGAAATAAACAAGGCTGTGCATTTAAAATCGGAGGAGGCCCCAGGGCTCAGCATTGCATCATAGTCTATAGAATAATAACCTCACATAGCTTGATAGCATTGATCCCAACTCTACTCTTGGTGTGGTAGGGAAGACACGGTGAACAAAATAATGTGTTAGAGAAGTGTGTGGTGCAGAGGTTCTCGTTGGAGCTGTGCATAGAGAAGACTTGTATTCATATCCTAAGCATCTAAACTCTGAGACAGACGTGAACATCTTTTTGAAACCCTGTGTTCACTTAAGTTCACTGTGTGAGTCTTTACACCCTGGGAACTGGCACAAGCTTCCTATCTGGACCATTGTTTTCCCAGAGAGAAAGCTGCTAAACACTTTCCTGCAACTACTGGCCCCAAATGTCATCCATGCTGCTTACTTGGTTTGAAGACCTTTGTCTAAGGACTTTCTATGAGCTCTCCATGTGAGCCTACTGGACAGCCAAGAATGAGCATACTCAGTTGATAAAGAAAAAAGAAATGGCAAGATGTTTGAATATTTGTTTAATGAGCAAATGACCACTAAATGTCAGTGTCTATGTGATCCATAGGGGACACAGATGAATAAATAGAAGATCATGGGTTATTAGCGGGTAGATTCCCTAAGAGCTGAACTTCATGGTTTTCTTTGATTTTGTTGTTAAATTCTCTAGTTACAGAAGGGAAAATGGAGACATAAAAGGAGATGTTATGGGGGAAATGAACGACACATGCAATAGTAGAAAAACAAAAACATATGTATCACAGGTAGAAATCACCAATATCTCTGCAAATGATTGTAAACTGGGCTTTAGAACACCAAGGATAATCTAGGTGAACACACACTCACACACACTCACACACACACCAGGGAGTAGGGAATCCGAAAGAAGTCGCAAGAGAAGCAGTGGCCATCACTGATCTGTCTGGCTGTTATACAGGCCTTGTTCCAAAATTTCCCTTTAAAGGAAAGGAGCTCAGACGGAATTAGGAGGGAAGGGAACACAGCTCGTGGGACTGCCTAATTTATATTGTCTCGAGGCACGGTGATGAATTATGTAAACACGGGCACTACAGGGAAATTCACAGAGGATAATGTAAATTTTACAGAGCAGCTGAAGACTCCTTTCCATCTGTTTCTTTCAAAACACCCTCCCAGAGGGCTTGTCCCTGACCTAGTCTAGATCAACGTGGGCTCATCTTAGCCTCTCTTCATCACTGTGAGGGGCTATATTCGGGTCCTGCTTTGAGGCGGTGTCAAGATTGACATTTTCAAAGTCTTTTAGAGTTTTTAGTCATTCAGAATGGTCCCCTCTTTACCTAATGTCTTCACTGCATGGTTTTCAGATGATTGTTTTAGTTGGGGGAAATTGTGTAACAATTGCTAAATCTTATCCTTAAGATGACAGGCATCAAAATCACCTTCATTTACATGTATGTCGCATGGATTGGGAGTTAGAGGTTCAGTGGCAAAGAATGCTCATGCTCCCTGGATAAAAGCAGCAGAAGGTCACTCTCAGGGGGCAAATTCAGCATGATGCTGTCTCTGCATATGTGTTTATCTTTACAAGCATGTGTGTTTACAAAAGCTGAAGGCAAACTCTGCTGTGGAGGGTTTGAGTTCAGAAAACGCACCAGGTGCCATGGATCCCAAACTGCAAGCCTTTCCCATAATTCTTACAGGCAGGAGTTGAGTCTAAAGTGGAAGACGTCTGCAGTGTTCTCATTGACTCTCTTTAAATCCCCAACCTATAGAAAACAAGTCTTACTAGAAATTTTGCTTTGTATTTTAAAGTAACAAAGTAAGCAGAGGATAGATAGAAACCAGCTAATTAGGAGTAAATCCTCAACAACATACATTCAAATGTTAGTTTTAGAAGGGAAGGGTGATAGACTTTTCAAGTTATTTTCTCATCTCCTATTTCTCGAGAGTTTTGTCTTTAACCCTACCTTCTGAAAAGGTACCACTAGCTTCTCCTTGTTTCTCAAAGTTCCCATTTTAACATGTTGAATGGAGTTTAGAAGTGGCCCCTTATATATAATTCAGACATTTTTCTGATCGAAGGGAAAACAAACTTTTTTATTCTCACAACATTCGTTCATTCAGTGCACACTGTCCATTTGTAAGCTTTCCCTGAGCTATAAAACAGGAAGAAAAAAAGAAAAAAAACCTTGTCTTTTCAATTTCCTATCCAGAGGATTGAAAACTGATCAGTTTCTGCAAGAATGGAAACAAAGCGTTCCACTTCAAAAATAGATTTCTTACCTGCAAACATCTTCCACGTGAGGTGTGCAGCTGGGCAACAGAATCTCCAAAACCCTCAGTTATCACGTGGTACTTGCCCCCTTCCAAAATGTTGAATGTTTTTACAGGAACTTCAAGGGCAGCTTTAAGGATGTTTACATTGCAGACAACCTAAACACTGTTTGCAGCAAAATGGGAGATTTCATTTGGGGACAAGCAAGTTGATGAATTACAGCCAGCGTATTCTTCTCAAAGAAGGCATTTTTACTGGGTGCTTTTAGTCTAGACACACAAAGAAGGAAGGAGGATGGAGAGAGAAGAGAACATTCTCCAACACTCACCTTTTACATGGTACCTTGGCCAAAACGCAGCAAACGGTTCATAATAAATCAGACTTAGAGTCACTCGGGAGCCTGTGATCTGTGCTCCTAAGCCATAAAAGGTATTGATTGATTTATTCCCCTGGTTACATTCTTCCACGCTGGTAAAACATTTTGTGGCCCAATAAATGTTTGGTACCAAGTGGCAAACACGAAGGATCCCATCAGAGACTTCCTTGAGTGTCATTTTGTTGCATAGCAAATGCTTTCTGAGTTCACCTCTGACCCCTGGCATTGCAACGGTTGAGGGAAAAGGAGAGAACAAAGTTGTTTGGGCCAGCTCAAGGGCACAGCAGCAGAGGGGAGGCGGAGGGCAGAGGAAGCACAGGGAAATGATCACGATCGTTACGCTAAACAGATGCAGCAATTAAGTTAGCTGACTGTCCCAATAAAGGAGCATTGGCAAGGTGAGACCATCTGCTTCTTGTCCAAGTTTGACTACAGAGATAGTAATGTAGCTCCTAACAGATGCAAAAGGACATCACTCAACAGGGGCAATTTCCAAAACTGCAAAAACAGACAAATTCAGTGTTTCTGGACCTGACACATCTGCTGTAGTTTTGTTGCTGTTATTGTTCTTTATTTAGTTAGTTTTGTAAGTTCAACTTCTTAGCCATGTGACTTAGCCTACTCATGAAAGAACAGTGCCGTCTTCTCCTCCTGTTCACATCGAAGATGGCCATTGCTTTGCACTTTGATGTAAGCTGGATCGAATCCAGGTATTTATCACATATCTAAATTATCTCCCACACTTGCCAACCCACACTAAATATAGAATAAACAGTAACGAGCCTTCCAGCCTGGTCTTTCCGAGCGAGTCCTTCATGAAAGAATAGAATGGGCTACCAGGCAGGAAAGGGCTGCTAAATCCTCCAGTGTCTGCTGAATAATGATTGCTTGTTAATCTACTATGATTATTGATGCTTTTAGTATTATTCAAAAGTCACAACTCAGAGCAGGGCCGAGGACAGGGCTCAATGGTTACATTGCTTGCCACACAAATGTCAGAACCAGAGTTCATTTCCCCGGAACTCATGTGAGCATTGTAGCATGCTGGAAGTTCCGGCCTCAGAAAGGAGAGGCACAGCAAATTCTTACAACAAGGAAGTTAGTGAATAGTCATCTTGACGAGACATCAACCTCTAGCCTCCAGTGCATATTTGTGCACTCGGGTGTGTGCACTCACATGTGTGCAAGCATGCAGGAACACACACACACACACACACACACACACAAAGTATACCGAATATGCTCACAAAAAGGGGAGAGGGGAGGACTGGAGACATGGCTCAGGGGCAAAATCACTGGCTGCTCTTCCAGAGATCCTGAGTTCAAATCCCAGCAACCACATGGTGGCCATCTAGATTAGGATCTGATTCCCTTTTTGGGCATGCAGGCATACATGCAGAGTGTTCATACATAAAATATAAATAAAAATTTAAAAATAATATAAGAATGGAAAGAGAAAAAACTCAAGATAATGAAAAATAGTGATGCAATTGTCATTAATGTTCCAGAGGTGTTCTGTTGCTTAACAATAAATACAGGAGCCAACCAAAGTTTTAAACAAAGAAACTGAAGGGGAAGGAAGGACATCTCCTGGCTTGTGCCACCAATAAACAAGTCTGTATTTGCCCACCAAGCAGATGTCACCCAAACTGTATTTTTAAATTACTTTGCATTAAAAAGAGA